TTCATACAATTTGACTATATATATATTAATGTATTTATCCTCAACTACCTATTTATTCCTGTTACATAAATGTTATTGTCTCATTTGGTAAATTCCCCTCTTTTGTAAAGCGCTGCGGAATCACTGGCGCTATATAAACAGCAATAATAATAATTATAATAATAATGACGAACAGTTCATTTCCAAGTCCCTTTCACTTCTTTTGTTTCTTTTCAGTTTGATTCTTCTTCATGGATCAATACATGGAATCGTCTTCACACTCTATGACAATCATCCATTTGGGATTCGGATGGTTTACAGTCTGAATCTTCATTGTTAACCCCTTAAGACCGCAGGGTGTTCTATGCCGTCCTTAATTGGCCGTCTGTTAACGCTGCAGGGCGACATAGAATGCCCTGGGCTGTCTTACTCCCCACGTGGCCGGCGGCACATGGCCGCTGCAGATCGCAGTTGGGGGGCATTTCTGGACCCCCTGGCAGCCCCTCTGTGCCTGGGGACCACGGTCTGCAGCTTCCGATCACAGTGACAGGCTGTCACTGCGATCGGTGTTTACCATGTGTCAGCCGATTTGAAATCTCCTGCAGCAGATCGCGGTCGGGGGACATGCCTGGCCCCCCAGGCAGGCCCCTGCGGTCAGTGACCGCGATCTGCACTGTCAGGCTGCAGTCTGATCACACTGACAGGCTGCCATAGCCTGTCAGTGTGATCAGTGTTACTATGTGTCAGCCTTTTTTGGACCCTTTGTGTCAGTCGCAGCAACCCAAATCTCCCTTAACCCTTTCCCCGCTGCCGTGATCACTATACTGTACAGTATATCTGCTGTACAGTACTGTATCAGTGATCACTGTGATCAGAGGGCTCTCTGATCAGACTGACCTTTTTTTAGGGTTATTTTTATAGATCTAAAAATAACCCTTTCAGTGTACTGATTGCAGCTGCCTATACTGTGATTAGTACATTTATATTATTTTTTGAGGGCGGGTAGTAGGTGTTAGGCAGGTAGATAATTAATTACCCCCTTAGTATATAAATTAATTAATTTGTCCCCCTAGAATGGCATGTCGCTACTCAGACGAGGAGGCATATGCCATTCTGGCAGGCAGTGATAGTGACGCTCTCCAAGACAGTGACACTATCACTGCCTCTGACATTGAGCTTCTGAGTGAGACCTCAAGTGATGGTGCCCCACCACCACTCACAAGAGGACGCTCAGCAAGCCCAATGCCAGACAGAGACTGGGTGCCTCCAAACATGATGGCCCCAGAAATACCGCCGTTCACTGTTACACCTGGCATCACTATAACAGTGGACGACTGCGAGCCAATTCATTTTTTTGAGCTCTTTATGTCCGATGATATATTTGAGCTCATGGCTCAGCAAACAAATTTGTTTGCCATGCAGTATCTCTCTGCACATCCGGGGTCCCATCATGGTCGCAGGAATATGTGGAGACCCACGGATGTCGCAGAGATGAAGTGGTTTTGGGCTTTAACCCTAATGATGGGTATTGTTAAAAAGCCCAGTATCAGGTCCTACTGGAGCAAGCAACGCATCCTGGCTACCCCTCTTTTCCCTGAGGTTATGTTGAGGGATGGCAACCTACAACTGCTGTGATTCCTTCATTTTAATGATAATTCACTGTGTCCCCCTAGAAATGACTCACTGTTTGACAGGCTCTATAAAATTCATCCATTTATCCAACTCCTGTCAGACAAATTTTCTGAAAACTATGTCCCCGATAAAGATATTTTAACTGACGAGTCCCTTATGAAATTTAAAGGTCGACTGCTATTCAAGCAATATCTTTCATGTAAGCGGTCCCGATATGGCGTTAAATTCTATAAATTATGCGAATCCTGTACTGGTTACACATGGGCGTTTCGCATTTACCAGGGGAAGAATAGCCATTTTGACTCACCAGGATTCCCTGATTCTGTGGGTACAAGTGGCAAGATTGTTTGGGATCTAATCCTTCCCTTGTTGAATAAGGGATATATGCTATGGGTTGACAATTATTATACCAGTACAGAATTATTTAAAAATTTATATTACTTTGAAACCCTAGCCTGTGGCACAGTGAGGAAGAATCGCAAGGGTTTCCCCCAAGCCCTGGCAAGAGGCAGAAGCAGTAGAGGTTCCTCTTCAGCTCTCCGCCAGGATGAGTTGTTGCTCTTCGCTTCAGAGATAGAAAAGATGTATACATGCTGTTTACGATGCACGACGAAAGTACAGTGCCAGTGTCTGTGAGAGGTAGCACTGAGCATCTGGAAAAGCCGAAGTGCATTGTAGACTACAACAAGTTTATGGGGGGAGTAGACTTGGCTGACCAATGCATACAGCCCTATCTGGTGAACGGAAAAACTAGGACCTGGAAAATTGCAATCTACATGAGCCAGATTGCAATTTTCAATGCCTATGTCCTCGATACAGAAGAGGTCATAGGTAGGCCCTGCCCTTTCCTCAAATTCACATTAAGCCTTTTGTCCTGTATGTTGTTTACCCACTCCCCCAATCCAACTTTGGAATCAGGAGATCTCCAAAGACTTTGTGGCAAACACTTCCCTTCCCAAATCCCACCCCTAGTAAAAAAGCTCCCTAAAGAAAGTGCCGTGTTTGCTACAAGAAAGGAGTCCGAAAGGACTCAAGTTATTATTGCCCAACCTGCCCATCTCTACCCGCCCTCTACATAACAGACTGTTTCAAAGTTTACCATACAGAGCTGAACTTCTGAATCACTCCGTATGGGACTTTGGCAGTTTGTTTGCTTGATTTCCCTGGATTTCTGACCTCGGCTTGTCCTGACTATGCTTTGTTAGCTGCCTGTACCGACCCACTGGCTTGTTTTACCGACTACTCTGACTTCTGGATTCCCCTGACCTTGGCCTGTCCCTGTTTACACTAGCCATTCTAAAGTGGCTACACCAAACAACTCAAAATACTACCTTTGTAGTACTTGAAATGTGACTTCCCAATAAAAAAATAATCACAGGGTTAATGCTGTGATTAGCACTGAAAGGGTTACAAAAAATAGTTGTTTTTTTAACTTCTCAAACTTTTCATACAGTAACTCTATGTGATATCAAAGATCTCTCTTCCTCTCTCTGCCTTCAGATCAAAGTGTATGTGGGGGTACTGTTCTATTCCTGTGATATAATAAACCTGGAAACATGGTACATGTGGGTACTGTTATATTCAAAAGACAGTGTTAAATCAAAATACCAAGTCTCTATTGCACTAACAAATATCAGGATTATGACTTTTTCCCACGAAAATGTAATTTATCTGATTAAAAAGACAAAAATCAAAGTAGAAATCACTACATGGGCCAAGCATTTCTGTTAAAATGGCTAGACCAAACATCTCAAATTATGCCATTTGTTATACTCTGGGGTGCCTACTTTTGAAAATGGTATGCCATAACGGTGGAAATGTTATTACCCAGGCTGCTATGCTCTCTGAAAAGCCACATAGACCCAGAAAATCATTTTGACAAATTTACAAGCTGAAAGGGCATCTGATATATTTCGCCCTGTGACGTATCAGAAAAATCTGAAATAATGGTACGTGGGGGTACGGTTATATTCAGAAGACAGTGCTAAATCAAAATACCAAGTCTCTATTGCACTAATATCAGGATTATGATATTTCCAGTGAAAATGCAATATACAGTTGCAAGAAAAAGTATGTGAACCCTTTGGCATGATATGGATTTCTGCACAAATTGGTCATAAAATGTGATCTGATTATCATCTAAGTAACAACAATAGACAATCACAGTCTGCTTAAACTAATAACACACAAAGAATTAAATGTTGCCATGTTTTTATTGAACACACCATGCAAACATTCACAGTGCTGGTGGAAAAAGTATGTGAACCCCTAGACTAATGACATCTCCAAGAGCTAATTGGAGTGAGATGTCAGCCAACTGGAGTCCAATCAATGAGATGAGATTGGAGGTGTTGGTTACAGCTGCCCTACCCTATAAAAAACACACACCAGTTCTGGGTTTGCTTTTCACAAGAAGCATTGCCTGATGTGAATGATACCTCGCACAAAAGAGCTCTCAGAAGACCTACGATTAAGAATTGTTGACTTGCATAAAGCTGGAAAGGGTTATAAAAGTATCTCCAAAAGCCTTGCTGTTCATCAGTCCACGGTAAGACAAATTATCTATAAATGGAGAAAGTTCAGCACTGCTGCTACTCTCCCTAGGAGTGGCCGTCCTGTAAAGATGACTGCAAGAGCACAGCGCAGACTGCTCAATGAGGTGAAGAAGAATCCTAGAGTGTCAGCTAAAGACTTACAAAAGTCACTGGCAAATGCTAACATCCCTGTTAGCGAATCTACAATACGTAAAACACTAAACAAGAATGGATTTCATGGGAGGATACCACAGAGGAAGCCACTGCTGTCTAAACAAAACATTGCTGCACGTTTACAGTTTGCACAAGAGCACCTGGATGTTCCACAGCAGAACTGGCAAAATATTCTGTGGACAGATGAAACCAAAGTTGAGTTGTTTGGAAGAAACACACAACACTGTGTGTGGCGAAAAAAAGGCACAGCACACCAACATCAAAACCTCATCCCAACTGTTAAGTATGGTGGTGGGGGCATCATGGTTTGGGGCTGCTTTGCTGAGTCAGGGCCTGGACGGATTGCTATCATCAAAGAAAAAATGAATTCCCAAGTTTATCAAGACATTTTGCAGGAGAACTTAAGGCCATCTGTCTACCAGCTGAAGCTCAACAGAAGATGGGTGTTGCAACAGGACAATGACCCAAAGCATAGAAGTAAATCAACAACGGAATGGCTTAAACAGAAGAAAATACGCCTTCTGCACTGTGAATGTTTACATGGTGTGTTCAATAAAAACATGGCAACATTTCATTCTTTGTGTGTTATTAGTTTAAGCAGACTGTGATTGTCTATTGTTGTGACTTAGGTGATGATCAGATCACATTTTATGACCAATTTGTGCAGAAATCCATATCATTCCAAAGGGTTCACATACTTTTTCTTGCAACTGTATCTGATTAAAAAGACAAAAATCAAAGTAGAAATTGCTACATGAGCCAAGCATTTCTGTTAAAATGGCTAGACCGAACATCTCAAATTATGCCATTTGTTATACTCTGGGTTGCCTACTTTTGAAAATGGTTTGCCCATAACGGTGGAAATATTATTACCCAGGCTGCCATACTCTCTGAAAAGCCACATAGGCCCAGAAAATCATTTTGACAAACTTACAAGCTGGAAGGGCATCTAATATATTTCGCCCTGTGACTTATCAGAAAAATCTGAAATAATGGTACGTTGGGGTACGGTTAAATTCAGAAGACAGTGTTAAATCGAAAAACTAAGTCTCTATTGCACTAACTAATATCAGGATTATGACATTTCCAGTGAAAATAAAATTTATCTGATTAAAAAGACAAAAATAAAGCTATAACTGCTATGCGGGCCCTTCATTTCTGATAAAGTGGTTAGACCAAACATCTTCCAATGCACCATTTCTCATACTCTGGGTTGCCTACTTTTAAAAATGGTATGCCATAATAGTGGAGATTGTAGCGGAATGCCAATATTAAATTCACGAATTCCGCTGGTTCAGGAAGTAATCCACAGTCAAGCGCTGGAAAAAGCAAGGCAATATCCCAAATCTCCCAGTAACCGGACGAAACACAGTTCTGAGAGTCAACTGAGGTCTTTATTTTCAGCTCCACAATTTATACAAGTCCCCATGCAAGGGGTTTCCTGAGTCCCCTCCCAGGGGCATTCCCAGAGGGGACTACATGGGGGACTTACTGTACAAGACATTTCTCCCATCAGGCACTGCTGCACGAGAGGGATCCTCCCACAGGAATGTACCGTTAAGTGGATTATCCCTCCGTGCAGCAGAACCGACAATTTATATTAAAATGCATAACTGTGTGAATATACGGTCTATTTGCATGAATGGACGTTCGGTAGATAGCTGGGGTCTGAGCGCATCATTCGTGAGATTACCGCTCAGATCCCAGCTAAAACAACCGAACGCCGCACCAAAAAAAATTCAGTAAAACACAGGTTCAAAAGACCGATTGCATGCTAGGGAACAAGATACCGAACAGCCCGGAACTCCAGAACGGCCTGGAAGCTCAGCGGTGTTCGCGCCGTCGAGTAGCCGTTTTTAGTACCATGCGCTCGACGACCAAACACCGCTGAGGGAACAAAGGATCCAAGATGGCCGACTGCCGCATGGTCAGTAGTCGAACGACGGCCACCTTGGAGAGCCTCTAATTACCGATTGCAACGTTGTTGCAATCGGTTAACAAGCGCCACACGTCTCTTAGTGTGTGGGCTATTAAATGATAGTTCATTCGGTTCACGAATGGCCCGCAAAGGTGCCGTTCGTGAAACGAAAGGAAACCAGCTATCTGCTTTCGTCAGATAGCCAATGCAGGCAGTACAGTGTTACACAATTCACATTACATTATACTCTGGAACACACATATCACGAAAATCATACAGGCAACCCTTAAAGCGACAGTACTTAAATAATGTCCAAGTGGCTAGGTTTGCCACAGAGATGTTATTACCCAGGCTGCCATGCTCTCTCAAAGGCGAGATAGACCCAGAAAATCACTTTGTCAAATTGCCAACTTTGAAAAGTACATCTAATATTTTTGTCCCCGTGACTTCCCCCCAAAACAGAAAATCTAGTACATGGAGGTACTGTTACATTCAGGAAACAATGTTAAACACAAATAGTGAGGCTTTGTTGCAATAACTCAAATCAGGAATATGAAATGTCCTGTGAAAAGTGAGTTCATGTGTGTGAAAAAGCACAAATAAAGCTATAACCGCTAAGTGGTCCCTTCATTTCTGATAAAGTGGTTAGACCAAACATCTTAAAATGCACCATTTGTTATACTCTGGGTTGCCTACTTTTGAAAATGGTATGCCATAATTGTGGAAATGTTATTACCCAGGCTGCCATACTCTCTGAAAAGCCACATAGCTCTCTCAAATGCGATATAGACCCAGAAAATCACTTTGCCAAATTTCAATGTAAAAAAGCATAAATGGATAAGCCGTATATATGACCCTGTAACTTTCCAAAACCCCATAAAACCTATACATGGGGATACCATGCCGCTCGTGAGACATCACTGAACAGAACTAGGAGTGTTTCAGGGCAGTAAACTATATATCAACAATAATATTATCAGTGAAAGTACAGATTTTATGTGAAAAATTCAAAAAAACAACAACAAATGCTAACTTTGGCTAGGGTTTGTGCCCAAGTGGCTAATACAAAAGACTGGGCATACCCCATTTGGATACCCTGGGATGTCTACTTTTTCAAATGGTGTGCCATGATGGAGGTAATTTTCATTTTTTGGCTGCCATACGGTCTCAAAGAAAGCCTGGACACGGCAAACCAATCTGTCAAATTTCTATGTAGAAAATAAAATAATGGACAAGCCATATATTTGACCCTGTAACTTTCCAAAACCCCATAAAACTTATACGTGGGGGGTACTGTTTTACTCGTGAGACATTTCTGAATACAAATATGTATGTTTTATTGCTGGAAAACCGAACAGTATTCTGACATTAACAGTTAAATTTCCATGCTGAAATTAAAAAATAACAAAATTTCTTAATTTTTTAAAGGTTTTTTTTAGATTTTATTCATATAAAATGGAGTTCCATATATGAATTTTTGATATGAAATGAAAGCTCTGTTTCCCCTGAACAAAATGATATTTAATAAGTGTGGGTGCACTTAATATGAAAGAGGTAAATTATTGTTGAACAGACATATAGTAAAATTCTGTGGTTTGTTTACATTTTTTTTTGGATCACATTTGGCTGCGGTCTTAAGGGGTTAACGTTGTTTATTGTATTTACAGGATGTGTTTATGGTTATATCGCATCAAAGAAAGAGGAAGTGATACGGGAGAGGGGCCTTTTATACCCTGTTGCAATGTTTTTTCCACTAAACTTTATTGTTAAATCTGTGCTGCTGGAGTTTTAGTAAAGAGAGATTATGCAAAATACTCGCCTCCTGTCCTTAATAGCATAATCTACAATTAATGGTTACATTTATGTCTCTTGGCATACCTTCCAAGTGTCACTAATTAGGGGGGACCGAAATCCCACTTTCCCTTTTTTCTATCCTAATGTCCCTTTCCAGTTGCTCCATTTTATTGGTTTCACTGAGTATACTTCAGACCTCCACAACAATAATACTCACAGTGATGTATCTTTAATGAACAATTAGTTTTTTTGGAAATCAGTTTGTGTAAAATACATTGTTCTTGCTCTAATTACATTTTAGTAAATAGTAAGTCACTTACAATTTCTCAGAACAGCCCTGGCCCTAACCACACTTTCAACCACACCGCTAAAATGAATGTGTCTCTCTTTATCCATTTGAAATGTTGGAAGCTATGTATGGAGAGGTTACTTGGTGGTGATTATACAGGGTGGGCTAAAATTCATAACTTTATAACTTTTTCATTAATTAACCAATTATAATGATATTACATGCAATGAATGCATAATATATGGAGATTTGTTTGACATGGTAAGCAAAATGACATCTTTTAAATGAGCTCTATTTGCCGCCTTGCAATGTTGCACTCTTTCGATTGCATTGTTAATAATATTAGTTAATGCTTGAGGCTCTAGCGCTCGCGATTCTGCCCCAGAGAGTGCATTTGGTAAGGTGCAATCAGCGCTGATAAATTATCTGTGGATTTTTCTGAACCCCAGGAACGGCAGTTTTTCTTATTGTTAAAGCCATTTAAATGAATGAATGACATGATGAGTTGATGAATAAATTCATTGTTTTCTCTTGCCTTATTCATTGTTCCTTTGTGAAACTACCCACGATGAATCCCCAAAGACTCAGTTACAAATTTTTTACCTGTAAAATCCTACTCTGAATTTTGGCTCCTGTAAATTGAGATTTGTAAGACAAGGAAAAAAACATTTTGGATTTAGGAGAACCCAGTTTCTTTGGTCGATCTACTCATCACATGATCACTTTACTATTGGAATACTTTGACTTTTTTCCAATTCATCTTGACTATTGCATATTGATCGTATTGCTGCCTAATATAATTCCAGGGGCAAACCGAGTAATTCCTGCCTCTTGAGTTTAGCTTCACTAAACTAATCAAACAGAACCTGGTATCCGCTTCAAAGCCAGGGGGGTGTAACCCCTTAAGGACACATGACGGAAATATTCCGTCATGATTCCCTTTTATTCCAGAAGTTGTGTCCTTAAGGGGGTAACCAGGTTAATTTATAAAAGTGTCAATTTCTATTGAAATCTGCAAAATGAAAAAAAGAGGAAACTCTTGACACATAAAGCTTTTCAGCAAGCTAAAGTGCTGTAAGAGTCTGGAGTGTCCCTTTAACATATTTTTAAAGGTATTAAAGAAAAGAGAAGTTATAATAAGAATTTTAATAAACCATGTTTGATTTATTTATTTTTTATTCTTTGCAACAAAAGTATTTTTAGTGATTATTAGGGTGATTAATAACAATAATTCCCTATGGTCACCTACAACCCACCTCTTGAGGAAAATTATTGAAGATCTACAACCAACGCTAGCAGAAGATGAGACTAGAAGATAAGACTCTAAAAACATTTTTTCTCTGAAATCCCTCAACAAAAATTAAGAGAAAGCTACCCACTGATGGGATAACTAAAGAAAAAGGGACCACACCGTCTAGAAAACCTCACTGCAAACTGTGCCTGCACATATTCACAGACCACAAAGCCATCTAACAAAGGCTAAATCAGTAAATGATCATAATTCTGCACACCAAGCAATGTAGCACGTGTGATACAATACATGAACTGTAACTTAGGGTGCGACATTGCAGAAACCACAATCAATTAAATGGTAGAATGAATATGCACAGACACTCCATTAAACACCACAAAAAGGAATCTTATTGTGGGCCACCATTTTACCCAGCTTGACTGCTCAAAGATCTAAAAATCAAAGTGCTCAAAGGGGATTTCAGAAATACACAGGTAAGAAAAAAACATTTGAAACCAGAATGATACGTTTTTGTTTTTTTTAACCAAAAGAATAGAGGACTCAATGTTTTTTACATGTTCCCCCCTCTCCAATCATTATATCACTATTCTATGAAATGCATAAGCATGTTAAGGTGCATTCTAATGTCATGTTTATTATTATATAATGTGCATTTATAGTAACATGTGTAGCCTTCCTGTACTTAGGTGCATGTAGGCGGGGGTGTGCATATTTATAAGTGTGTGAATTTATGTACATATGTGTGTGTATTTCTATCTATCTATCTATCTATCTATCTATCTATCTATCTATGTGTGTGGATATGTTTTTGTATGTAATGGTATTTTTGTATGCCTGTATGTATACAGTTGTAATCAGAAGTATTCAGCCGCATTGAAATCAGGTTTATTGTCAAAATGTACAGACTTTCAGCTGTTTGCAATGAACAAATCAAACAAAAGCAATTGAAAAAGCTCAACAAAGCAATTTATAATGACTTCTCCAGTCCCAAAATTATTCAACCCCCCGAATAGAATCCTTCACAACAGCACTACCTGGAAGGGGCAGAAAAAGGAAGCTATCAAAGGCTGAAACCAGGTTTCTGAGAAGGCAGGTTGAGTGACTGCAAAAGACCTGCAGCAAGATTTGGTGGCAACAGGCACTGAGGTTTCAGTGAGCACAGCAAGGTGTGTACTAAATGCAGAAAGTTTCCATATGAGAACGCGAAGACATACACCACTACTGACCCAAAAGCACAAAAAAAGTTGGCTCCAATATGCTCAAAATTCTATAAATAAGTCACATATATTTTGAGATTCTGTTCTGTGGTGCGATGAAACAAAACTGGGACTTTTAGGCCCAATGGATTAGCAGTATGTCCGGAGGAAGAAGAACTAAGCATACGCTAAAATGAACACTCTGCCTACAGTTAATCATGGTGGTGACTTGGTGAATCATGCCATCTGTGAGGAAGCTGAAGTTTGGGCGTCATTGGACCTTCCAACAAGACAGTGATCCCAAGCATACCTCAAATTACACCAAGGCTTGGCTGCAGAAGTAGTTCTGAAAAATTCTACAATGGCCATCACAGTCACCTGGTGGGATTGGAAGAAGGCAGTTGCAGCATACAAACCCAAATATATTACTGAACTGCAGGCCTCATGAGCAATGGTCTAAGATTCCTCAGGAATGCTGCCAGAAGCTGGTGACTGGCTATGCATCTTGTTTGCAGCAGGTTTTATTGTATTTCTTATTCCTACATCGCAGTTCCACTGAATTACATACATAAGTACTTGCATTCCTAATCTGTGTAATTAATTTTTTGTCGTTCCCCCTTCTAGTACCATATCCTGCCCTGTTTTTTTCTTCTTTCTCCTCACTCTTTGATCCTTACACAGAATATATATGACCCTTTTGACCCTATTTTCTTTCTTTCTTTTTGTTTCCATTACCTGTGTACTAAATTTCACTTTAAACTCTGTATCACAACTCAACTTTGAATTCTGTGTTGTTGTTGCTCTGAAATGCTTTAGAAATTGTGGATCTCCCGGAAGCTTGTCATTCCCGAATTAATCTATACTAATTCCATCTATTATTTTACAACAAATCCTCTTGAAAGACAAATAACATGGAAACATAATGGGAATTTACTTTATCTTCTACACTATGATAGGTCTTCATAGATAGGTACGAATATACATGTTTTAATTATTTTGTGTTTGAAATTGTTGACAAATAAAAATAGCCTGAAAACATGGATGGAGTTAAATTTCTTTTATTTAGCATTTTTTTTGATGTTCTGAAACAGACATATGCAATGTAAAATCCATATCACTGGTTGCTCAGGACTATACACAGGGAAATGCATGCTTAGATTAACGTCAAAGTGGGCCAGTTCCCTACTAAACCATATGAAATGATAGATTGATCCTCTTGGGTGAGTAACTTTATTTTAGGAACACTAAACCTCCTCTAGACATGTTCTGTTCCCTCATGACTGTTGTGTGTAATTGTTTTCATGCACAGTACTGACATTGGTACGGTGTAACAGGGCCCTAGGCCACATCCCAAGCAAGTCTAACAAGTGAGACAACCCAAATCATTATATACCACACAGGACAAAAGTTCAAGAGAATATAGATTTAGTTTTCTTCAATCAACTGATTTAGTATAGACAATAAAATAAGGAAATTATTTAACAGTACGTTGATTTAACTTTTACTGAGACATGGAACCATATAACCTCTTTCCACTTAAACCCTATTCCCAGTTCCATTACCCATCACAATCAAAATGTACAATATAATAGAAGTGAATATAGAATATCCCATTATTCCAGCCATTTAAAGTTGAATTCTTGAATACATATTGTTGCTATATGATGAAATAACACATGATAATGAAGTTCCACATTAAAATATTACATTAAGCATCAGTAAAATACTTGTCTAGGTGCAGGAACCATATCACTTGCTTAAAGTTTGCTTTTTCCATATCAAGAAAGTATATTTTTGTTCACTTTGTATTGTTATACAGACTTAAGAATAGTTACATACAAGTCTTCTTCTGGATTTGTCCACGCCATTGCGTACATGATGCCAATTTAACATGCACACTATTACTAGGATTAAACACACTTTAGTGAAGATAGCACATTAATTATCAAAATATAAAGCTTCTGCACAAATTGAAAAAGCTTTCACTGATGCTTGGCCAATACAATACAAATGATTTGGCAGCCTACTTTAAAAGTAACTCCCATCCTGACAGATATGTATGAGCAGCTTTGATGAAAAGAACAACATAGGAATGGTTTTATATCGAAAGTTTAAGTAAGAAAAAAGTAAAATGACAGACTTTGAAACATTTTTAATAAGTGTACAATAAACATTTTACCCCTCCTCCCAAAATTTATGCTACCCAAATCCCAATCCAGAAAAAGTGCAAAATAAATCAAGGTATTCAAAATAAATCAAGGTATTCAAAAGTATGAGATTTAACATAACATTTTTAGAAGTCAAAATTGTCTCCCTTCTTTGCCCCACGCTTTGCTGTTTTCAAATTCTTTGGACTTAGGTATAGTACTGTTATGTCCCATCATTGCTGCAGTTTGTGTGTATAACACAGAGCTAGGGTACCTTATATTAATGTAATGTTAGAGCAGTAAGACACATGGTATAGCAATGCAGATTGAAGACCGTAGGTATCTAGCCTTCTTGCATCCGAAGGTAGCATGAACATTGCAATTCCCAATCAAAAGAAGCGATAAATCCGTTCAGTCTCAAGACTGTCAAACAAGGCCTGAGGAAAATGAGTCACCTTCATGCACCAGAAAATGTTTCTTTAGTTTTGCAATTTTTTTAAAATTTTTTAAATTTTGTAATTTTTTTTTTTTTTTTGCATTTCATTCCTGTTTCAAGATGCAGCTGAAAAAACCTCAAGCAAAGACACGGCAGTGAGTTTATACCCGAAACACCTGGACTTCCATAATTAGATGCAATATATATCTGTATATATGTCTTTTATATATATATATTTATATGTATATATAGATGTAGATGCTTATCGGCACAGGACAAAGACATCACAGGGTAGCAGGCATAGAGGTGTCAGAGTCCCATAAAAAAAGATTTATCTTTGCCGCTGAAATTACAAAACCCATCTTGAAAGGGGGGCTTCATGTGAGAAGAATAAAGCAAGTAAGTATATATATATTTAAATCTCAACACTGTCATATGGACATGGAAGTGTTGTTTTGTGTCATACATGCAGTACACACAGTTCATGTATATTTCCACAAACTGTACATGCAGGTGTGAATGCCGTGTGCATGAAGAGTGTGCTTGCATGACCAGTTGGCATCTGTTGACGGATGAAATATTCCAGTTATGAACAGAAAACCCTACAAAATAAAAGAAAAGCGTATCATCAATTAGTTATTAAATCATTCTTTAAAATATCCATGTCAGGCACCCGTATTGTGGATAGTTCAGTTTAAATATGTCA